TCTACAGCAGTCTTTTTCAAACATTAATACATATAGTAATTACCTGGGGATCTTACTCTGTTGATCTGTAGAGAATCCTACAGTTTGCATTTCTTACCAGCATGTTATTTGGAATGGTTGCTCAGGTCCTTAGACTGCATTTTTGACCAGCAGGATTCTAGTATTCAAAGTTAGATTTCTAGACAATAATGGTACATTTGTTAAGCCTCTGTTATGTGCCAGAGGTTATTCCAGGGGCTCTTGTATATATTTCTTCTTTAAAAAGTCTTAAAAAATTATTAGCACATGTTAATGAATTCAGCCAATGTTGAGCAAAAATTTTTAGTCAGAAAGTTGTTTCTGTGGCTATATTTTCTTCTAAGATCTCATGTGGAGGGCTGAAATCCCAGAGGAAGCTGTATATCTGAGAAAAATAGTGGAAACCAAATACCTCATTACTGGATCTCCAGTTCAAAGTGGGGTCTTAGATCCTCATCTTCCTGCTATATGTCTGTGTGCCTTCACCAGTTGCAACCCAAAGAGTAGGCATACTGCGGAGCACACATATATCTTGCAAGAATTTTCTCCCAATATTTTAATATTGCAATTGTCTTTTAAACTAGCAAAATTTTGATGAAGTCCAATTTATTGATCTTTCAAATTTTTGGAAGTTGTGCTAAAATACTCATAACATTTACCATGTTAACTAATTTTAGGTTTATATTTTAGTGGTATTAAGTACCACATTACTGTGACAATGTCACTACCATTCATTTCTAGAACTTTGTATCTCCCCCAGCTGAAATTCTGTATCCATTTGATACTAGTTCTGCATTCTACTTCATCTCTTATGTTCTGACAACCACCATTTTACTTTCTCTGTAAAAGAAAGATTTCAAATAATCAAGATTGATTATTCTAGGAAGTGTTATGAAATAGAATTGTACTTTTGTGACTGGCATATTTAAGTTGGATTAATGTCTTCAGTGTTCTCCATGTTGTAGCATGTATTAAGATTTAGCTCATCTTAAGACTGAATAATACTCATTTGTGCATTTATACCATACTTTATCCATTCATCTCTTGATGGGCACTTCGGTTGCTTTCATCTTTGGGTGTCATGAATAATGTTACTGTGAGCATGGGTATACAAATATCTGGTTCCCTGCTGCAGTTGTCTGTTCACAAGTGAAATTGCTCGCTCACATGCAGATTCCATGTTTACCTTGAGGGGCTGCTGTATTTTTTTTGACAGAGTTCACACTATTTTATATTTTCATCTGTGCTGTGTAAGGTCTCCATATCCTTGCTGCACGGCATAGCATACTTGGCTGTGAAAGTCACTTTTCTGTTACTTTAACAAAACACCTGAGATAATCAACTTAAAAAGAGGCAAGATTTACTTTGGCTTATAGTTTCAGAAATTTCATTTCATGATCAGTTGACCTTGTTCTTTTGGGCCTGTGACCAGGTAGCATATCATGAAGGAGCATGTGATAGATCAGAACTTCTCACCGTAGGTCACCTGGCAAGTGAAAGGAAGAAGAGGGATCACAATCCCAGTATCTCTTAAAGGTCATGCTGCCAGTGTCTTCACTTCCTTCCATTAGGCCCTACCTCTTAAGAGTTCTGCCACCTCCCATAGCACCACTGACTAGGGACCAAGGCTTCACTACATGGACCTTTGGGAGACGTTCCAGATCCAAACTATAGCACTTGCAAATACCTTTGAAAGAAAGAAAAAAAAATAGCCATTGTAACTGTATATAAATGAAAAGTACAGTGTGCATTGCTTTAGTGATTAATGTTGAGCATTTTTTCATATGCTTATTGTCACTTTGTTTATTGTCTTTGGAAAACTTGCTCATTTTAAAAATTGATTTAGTATTTGTTTTTGTAGAGTTGTAGTTCTTTATATATTCTAAATATCAATTCCTTATCAGATATATGACTTGTATTTTCTCTGTTCTTTGGGTTGTCGTTTTGCTTTGTTGATTGTATTCTTTGATGCACAAAAGCTTAATCTTGATGAAGTTCAACTTTTCTTTGATTTTCTGTTCTTTTGGTATCAAATCCAAGAAGTCTTGAAGAAGTCAATTTCAGGAAGCTTCCCTTTGTTTTCTTCTAATAGCTTAATACTTTTAGATGTTCTTTGGTTATCGAATGATCTAGGCGGTCTTTTTTTTTTTTTTTAACATTTATTTATTTAGTGTGTGTGTGTGTGTGTGTGGCCAGCTCAGCCCACCAGGGGGCAGGGCTGGCTGGCATGTGGTGCTGGGGGATTGAACCGTGGTCCCTGTGCTTTGCCAAGCTTGTTCTAAGTAGGTACTTTAGACCACTGAGCCATCTCTCCAGCCCCTAGGCGGTCTTGTTGAGTCATTTCATGCAAGGATTTATCTTCTGGGCTATTTTGACCCTTTAGTCTTTATGTCTGTTTTTAATCCCTAGTACTATATATAGTACTTGGTCGAACTTTGAAAACTAAAACTGTGTATTTTTGTTTTACTTCCGTTCTTACCCTAAGCAAGGAATAGTAGCTTCAGATGTAGTGGGAAACAGAAACAAAAACATGAAAGCATTGGTATTAGGGATAATGTGGTACAAATAATCATCAGGAAAGATTTAAATGATAATAGCATGAAATTCAAACTAAAGTGGTATTTTAGGGTTTTTTTGGTGGAACCGACGATTGATCTCAGGTCCTTGTGCTTGCCAGGCAAACAGTTATTCTATTGAGCCATCTCCCTGGCCCCTAAAGTGGTATTTTAAAAAGACATAACTAAAAGCAGAAGAAAGCAAGGTGTGAAAAGATGCCAGAGTGATTAAGGTACATATGAAAGATCTCCTGGATATTTAGAAGAAATGGAATCAAAAGCAAGAGATAAGAGTTAGTTTTTTTATAGGAAGTTATTATTTCCCGTGATAGAAGAGGAATGAATGGAGAAGGCATTCAAGAGTAGGAATGTAGGGCCGGCCAAATAGCTCAGTGGATTAAAGCATCTGCAAGCAGGTACAGGGTACAGGAGTTTGATCCTCAGGTCTGCTATCCTGGCCCTGCCCCTGGGGCGCGCTGAGACTGAGAGGTGATTGAGACTGGGTGTGGTGACGCATGTTTATAATCCCAGCTCTTGGGAGGCTGTAAACAGGTGGAGCACTACAAGTCTGATCTAGCAGTGAGACCCTGAACACCCTGTAGACCCTTCCCTAAAATCCTAAAATGAAAAGAAAAAAAACAAAAACAAAACAGGAATGTAAATAACCATTTAAGGGTGACTATTATCCTCCATCCAGATGAAGTTGAAAGAAAAAAACATTTTTTTTTTTGTTTTTTGGCAGAACCGGGGATTGAACTCAGGCCCTTGCGCTTGCCAGGGAAGCGCTTATTCCACTGAGCCATCTCCCTGGCCCCGAAAGAAAATTTTAAAGAGTAAAGTATATAGGAATAGCTGTTACATTTTAGGAAAAGAATGTTAAGGTATATGGAAAGATCTAGTCTAGTTTGAAAAGATCTCCAAATCCTTCTAAAATTTGAATAATACCTTCTCTGCTCCCTTTGAGAACCACCCCTTTATGCTATTTCTAGATTCTTATCAGAATTAGCAAACAGATAAAATAATTTTTAAGAGCTTAATTGAACTTTAGGCTGTTTAGTTTGCATGGTAACAATTACATGAGGATACGAAGCCCCCCTACATTCTCAAGGTGATTGTTGAGTAGTAGATGTTACCTCAGTAATCTATTTTATCTATATATGTGTATTTAATTTATCCAGCAGGAACTTAAAACTCTAAAATTGGTCTTCTATATTTCCATGTACAGGATTGGTCTCCATCAACAAATTCAGTCAACTGAAGGGTTGAAAATATTTGTGGGGGGGTATATGTTGCATCTATATTGCATATCTATAGATTTTTTTGTCATTATTCCTTAAAATATATAAGACTATGTAGGATTTATACTTTGTTAAGTATTATAAGTAATCTGCAGATGATTTAAAGTTTAAGGGAGGATTACATAATTTGTGTGTAAACACTACATCTTTTATGTAGGTAGTTTAGCATTCAGAGTTTGATATCCATAAGAATCCTAAAACTGCCTCCCATGGGTACTGCAGGATTGCTTTACAAAAATTCGTCAGGGAAGTAACTGCTGTAAAACAGACCTTTGCAATTTAAAATTAGTCACTCAAATAACATAGGTACAAAATAAATATTAATATCACTTAGCGTATAATAGGGAGAGTACAGTATGAGCAGTATTTTTCAGACTGGATTTATAGCCAATTAATGGCTTGTGAGGTGAATTTAATGGCTCAGAACCAGTGTGCTCCCCATTTTTTATGGATTAAAATAGCAAAGATTGTACAGGACTTTTATTACTATAGTGAAATAAACTTGTTTTATGAAAACTTTTGTATATAGATATGTATGTGTCTTTTTTGTATACTCAATTAGATGAAAAGTGTTTCTCACTGTAAGTTGCAGTCGGAACTAGTAAAAATCAGCAGGACATGGTGGCACACACCTGTTTTCCTAGCACTTAGGAGGCTCAGGCAAAATTGTGAGTTCGAGCCTGGCTTATGACATATATTAAAATTCAAAGCTACCTAAACTACATAATAAGACACTCTCTAAAACAAGACCGAAAACACATTTACACATACAAAAAATCATAATGGGCCACGCATGGTAGCATATGCCTGGTAATCCCAGCACATGGGAGGCAGAGGCAGGAGGATCATCACAAGTTCAAAGTCAGCCTGGATTATGTAGTGAGACTATTTCAAAAACCAAACAAACCACAGTAGAAATCTACTGTAGGACATTTTAATAAGTAGGTATGGATGTTATAAAGGTCTTAAAAGCCTTTTAATTTCATTTCTTTATAGCATTCATTCATAAGTTTTTATTGACATCTCAGCTAACTACATATTTTGTTGTATATGAATAAGCATGTATGTGCATCTGTATAGATGTGCATATACCTATGTATTTATGTATTTTTCTTGTTGTAATTTTTAGGTGCAATGGATGAGCTTCACAGTCTGGATCCAAGAAGGCAAGAGTTACTGGAAGCTCGATTTACTGGAGTTGCAAGTGGAAGCACTGGGAGCACTGGTAGTTGCAGTGTTGGAGCTAAAGTGAGTAAAATTTTAATCCTTATTTACTATTCTTTGTATTAGTTGATCTAAAATATATTTTGTAGGGGCTGGTGAGATGCCTCAGTGATCTAAAGCACCTACTTAGAACAAGTTTAGCAAAGCACAGGGACCACAGTTCAATCCCCCAGCACCACATGCCAGCCAGCCCCGCCCCCTGGTGGGCTGAGCTGGCCACACACACACACACACACACAAATAAATAAATAAAATTAAAAAAAAACATGTTTAAAAAAAATACAAAAGAAAATAAAATATATTTTGTAAAGGAACTATATATATGCCAAAGAATAGATTATTTCCCACCCCACCCCTTTCTTTGTGGAGCTAAAGATCACACTTAGGATCTTGTGCATACTAGGTGTGCACTCTACCATTGAGCTGCACACCAATCCGCAGAAGTATGTTTAAGTACTCCTGAGATTATCACTACCGAGATAATCTCCCCAATTCAAAGTCCTCATCCTTAAACATACCTGCAAAGTTCCCTTTACCACATAAGCAAGCATAGTCACAAGTTTTGGAGGTTAGTGTATAATCATTATTAAGGATCCTTTACTCTGTACCATTACACCATCATTCTTTTATTTCTTAATTTTTTTCTTTAATTTTCTTGCATAGTTGGGAATAATGAACAAAGAAAAGTAACAGTGAGATAATTCCTAGGCTGTTTCTATACTAACATATTTAAAAATACAGGAAAATGTGATCAGTAAGGTCCCATGATATATATTAGACTTATAAAAAAGGGTCCAATTGACATCTAGTAATTTTAAGATCAAGTGAGTTTTATTTAAAAATAATTTTTTTATTTCTTTTAAAAAATCTTTTATTTTTATTAATTTTTTTGATACAGGGTCTCGGTATGCAGCTGGGACTCATAGTGCTTCTCCTAGCTCAGCCTCCCCAGTGCTGGGATTACAGGCATGCATCACCATGCCCTGTTTCAGTGGCTGTCTTGGTGCCCCAGGCTCATATAGCATGTGGTACTGGGTATTGAACCTGGATCCTTTGTGCTTGTCAGGCAGGTGCTTAGGCCACTGTGCTGTCTCCCTAGCCCTCTTTGGATGATTTTTAAGAAAATAGTAAAAGTTCTGAATTATCATGATTCATAAATACAATAGTATGGTCAGAAAATAAGCTCAACAGCTAAAATTGAGATCCATTGATACCTCCTTTGATACTTTTTTTTTCCTCTTCTGGGCCTCAGAGATAGCTGTGGTTTCTGTCTTAAGTATTGTTCTTTTGTTGGTGGGACAAATACCTGAACTCAAAATTAAGGAAGAAAAGGTTTATTTAGCTCACAGTTACTGGAGGTTTCAGTCCATACTTGGCTGGCTCCAAGGCAGACTAGCTCATGGCAGAGAGCAACCTTTCATGGCAGCCGCAAAGAGCAGAGAACCAAGGGAGTGGAAGCAGCTCAGGCAGCTAACTAGCCTCTCATCCCTTATATTGTAATGCAAATTACCTGCCTCAGGTAGATAACATTCCTATTAGGTCTTTTCCCAGACACCCCGACAGTGATCATCACAAACTCCAGAAGCTGCCCCCTGACTGCATGAGGCTTTGGGGGGGACACCTATACACAAACCATAACAGTTTCTTTTATTCTATAGTTTTACTCTTAAGGCTTGCCCATTAGTCTGTCTAGGGTCTATTTTTTATATGAGGGGAGTTCCATTTTATTCTTTTCTCTACCTGTGAACCAGTTTTCTTCACAGTGCTCCTTAAATTGTTCAGATGTTTTCTTTTCTGTTTTGTTTTTTTTTAATCAGAAGTCAAACTCAGGAAGGACCTTGTGCTTGCCAGACAGGTGTTTATGCTACTGAGATATATATCCCCAGTCTCTTGCCAGTATGTTGCCACTGATTTTTCCACTATTACTACGTATGTGTGTATCACTATTACTATGCATGTGTGTGATTTATGTACTTATCATGTATACCATTTGTTATATGTTGAATATATATGATTGCTATATATATATATATATATATACACACACACACATACATATGTTTGTGTGTGTATATATATATGGGTCTGAATTTGCGTTTTTATGCTAATATCACATTAAAAGTAGGACAGATTCTTTTCAAAAGTCAACTTACTTATGGATCTTTATTCTCATAAAATTTGAATATATGTGTTTGTTAGCATGTGGGAATTATTCTTATTATGGTTTATTTATGTCTTTTTCTTCAGAAGGATTATAACCATTAAATACATAGAATTTATAGATTAATATGGGAAGTACTTTTTTTTTAATTTTAGGTAAGGGTTTACAAGGTGTTCAGGTTCTCACTACTAGGTTGGACTCTTAGTGATCCTCCTGTTTACAGCCTCCAAGAACTGGAATTATAGGCATGCTCCACCATGCCCAGTTTCAACTGCTCTCTCAGCGAGAGGCGCTGAGCCTGTGTGGCAGGCCCGGGGATCAAGCCCCCAGCCCCTGCGCCTGCTTGCAGGCACTCTAATCCGCTGAGTTATTTGGCCGGCCCTGGGAAGTATATTTAAATACATGCAATATTTTCTGCTCATTCTATTTTTTCTGTGGAGTTCTTACTATTTTTTGGTTATTCTTGGATACTTTGAAATCTTTGCAGATGATAAATTTATTGTTTTCTTGTTCAGTATTGCTAGCTTAGGATGCTTTTGATTTTTGTAATTTAGTTTTATATCTAGCTTGCTTATTTTTGGTCTCATTGTTAATAGTTTGTTAATTCTGTAAATTTCTCTAAGGGAAATAATTATCCTTCAGTACTATCTTGTTCTTGCCCTAATAGAGGGAATCATCTGAAGTTTTGCCTGTGTAATGTTTGCTTCAGTTTTAGGGTATATATCCATCACTAAGTTAAGAAATTACTTTTATATTCCTGGTTGGTTAAAGTTTTTTTGCTTTGGGATTGTTTTATAAAATCACAAATGATGTTCAAGTTATAAAATCTTTTTGTTGGTTTCTGTTTGGAATTATTAGTGTGGTGATTTATATTGGTATATGTTTTACAAAATATTGACCCTTGTTTACATTTGTGATAAATTTAGTTATTTTCTTCTTTTTTAAAGAGAATACAAAATAGTAATAAAAAAATTAGAAATGATACAGAATTTCACTATACAGATAAAGTGAATTCAATAGTATTTGTTGTATTGCATAGTTTTGTCTTCAAATTAGTTGTTCATATGATCAGATATATACATACAGAATTGGGAAAAAATGAAAAAATTATCAGAAATTAATGATAGGAAAAGAAAAATAAAAATGAAAAAAAGAAGGCAAGAAAAAAAAAATTAAGCATTAACAGTTCCTTTTCATAGATCAGCAGAAATCCACAGTGCAACTTCCAAACCATCCTGCTTACATACATAAATATATCTCTTTCCCCCACAACTCTCCTGTCCTCCTCATCTCAGTAGTTGCTTCCTTTGAGCAGGTTCATTCCCTTCTCACAATATCTATTGTACCCTTCAGATTTTACTTATCTTTTCAGGTTCTTATATTTAAGGAGACAGTATGATGTTTGCACATGAGGGTCTGGTCTAGTTGCATCCACATACTGGAAATCAAGCCTCAAATTTATCCTTTTTAGTGCTGAATAATACTCCATTTTGCAAAAATATCACATCTTCTTTATCTCTTCCTCAGTTGATGTACATTTGGGTTGCTTCCAAGATTTAGACCCATGACTGTCCCCATACTCTACACTAGTCAAAATGGATCAAAGGTTTAAACATTAAAATAGAAAAAAATCTGCTGGCGGAAAATGCTGGTAGAAATCTTAAAGACATCGGGTATGTAGAGAGTTCATGAACAAAAACCAAACTGCATAGGAAATACTTGAAAGAATCAACAACTAGGATCTCATCTTTTTGAAGTTTCTGCATGTCAAAAGAAACCAACAGGGGGCCTGTCCCTTAGCTCTGTTCACTAAGTGGCTGCTTCAACAAAGCAGTCAGGCTCAGGTTGCTGTGGTTCAATCCCTACAACTCAAGCCAGCCAAACCTGCCCCGAAGGCATTCGGAGAAAAAAAAAAAGAAAACAATAAGAAGAAAACCCATGAACTAGGAGAAAATAATAGCTAACTGTGCCTCTTACAAAGACCTATATAGAACATAGGAAGAAATTTTAAGAATCAGTCCCCCAAAATTCAAAGACCCAATTCAAAAATGTGCATGTGAAATGAATGTACACTTCTCAGATGAAGAAATGCAAGTATGAAAAAATGTTCACATTGGTCATTTGAGAAATGAAAATTAAAACAACACTGAGATTCTATCTCACCCAAGAAACAGTGGCTATCTTCAGAAAATCAACCAATAATACTGGAGGGGCTATGAGGAGAAAAGAACCCTCCTCACTATTGGTGGGAGTGTAGACTGGTACATCCACTATGGAAATTGGTGTGGAAATTCCACAAAAAGCTAGGATTGGAAGTCCCATTCAACCCAACTCTTCCCCTCCTGGGTATTTTTCCAGAAGACCTGAAAGCATCATACCAGAGTGATTTGTATGCACCCATGTTTAAGGCAGCACTATTTGTCATAGATAAAGTTAAATGTACGACTACATTTTTCAGATTTGATGCATTTCACACACATATGTATACTTGAAGGAAATAGATATGCAGTCTGGAAGAGTATAGTTCAATGACTTTTAACAAATACAGATTGCGCTTGTAATCTGTATCATTTTCAAGATACAGGACAGTTTCCCCACTGTCTTGTTTTATAACTCAGTTTCATGCTAACCTCAAAGTGAACTGGGCTTCTTTTACTATTTTCATATATATGGAAATGTTTTTGAGAATATGAATAATCATTCACCTGTAAAACTGTTAGCCTGGGATTTGTTCAGAAAGGAAATTTTTTATTACCTACTTTAATATTTTGTTTCTTAATCCATTTTATTTAAGCTTTTCAAGCTTAGTAGTATGCATATAATTATGACTCTTTGAAAATTCTTGTTTCCTTTCTTTATAATC